CCTGAGAAAGGCAAGACCAGCCTCCTCGGGCAGAGGCGACCCGAGTCTGGCCTGGGAAGCGTTGCCCGGATCCCTGCGTTCACGATCAGAATTCAAGGCCTCAGAAGCAGCGACCCGCAGCTGCTGGCCCAATGGGCCCCTCGGCCCGCTGAGCTATCAGCAAGCCCTGCCTGCCATGGGTTCCAGAGCGAGCTGGCTGCCCATTCAGTGACAAGGCTCAGGCCCCGCCAGCCCCCAGGGCAGGCCCGGAGCCAGGGGAGGTGACCTTGCCACCCTTTTGGACAGGACGCAGTGCAGCGCCTGGGCCCAACGACACCCATGGGTTCAGTGGGTCAGTGTTCAGAGAGTGTTCAACAGGAGTTCTGTGCACTGGTAAATATTTCAGCACCGAAGAAGTAGAGGACGGAATTTATCTGGAGGGTTGACGGGCACCCATGGGCCGCAGCCCCGCCTTCCACACTGCTGTGGGCCCCACCCCACCCTTACTTTGTTCTGACCCCAGGCGCCGCTCAAAAGCCTCATCCTGGAAGGTCTCCTGGCCTCCAGCCTGGGTGACTTCAGTGTGTTCTCCCACGCCCCCCTCCCATGGCAAATCACGTGTTTTGGACGTCGGGTCCACTTCCCACCGGACAGCGGGGCCGTGTGAGGACTAGGGGTGTGGCCAGCACCCCAGCAGCTCCGCCCGCTCAGCGCCCCCGTTCAGCAGCCCTGGCTGCCCCCAACCCTGAACTCACTGCTTCTGCAGGGGCACCTGCCCCCCAGCCCCGAGCCCAGGCCTTTGCAATCCTCGCCCGAGCCCATGCAGACCCCACGGCCGGGCTCAAGGGTTCCCACTCCCCTGTGCATGGCCCCCGGTGGTCTCGCTTCCTGGGATTCAGGCCTGGCGAGCCCCTTCCCGAGAGGAGTCCAGATTGATGAGGCTGAAAGGACCGCAGAGGGGCAGACGGTCACCGCCACAGCAGAGCAACAGGGCACGTCGGGTCCTCTCTCCACCTTTGCGGAGGGGGACAGCTTCTGTCGGTGAGATTTTCTATTTTCAGCCTTTCTGTCCTTTATGAACCTTCTGTAACAAACACAACTTTTAATTACAAAATACAGAAGTGTGTGAGTAAGGGCTACCAAGACCCGACAGAGGTCACATGAAGTCCCCTGTCTTCCTCCTCTTCTCTGGGGTCGTCTGTGCCACTTCTATGTCGGACGTGCTGGGGGAGGGCTGCGGGGGCTCAGGGCTGCCCTCCTGCCCAGCTGGCGCCCCGTCTTCACACAGACCCCCCTGTGCCCAGGCCTGTGAGCACCCACAGGCTGCCCGACCCTGGAACTGCAGCCGCATCCTCCCCTGAAGGGCCTGGGTCCCACACGGGTGACCTGACTCCAGTGAGCTGGTCACCCTCCTGGCCCATGGAGGGGACCGCACGGTCTGCCTGGCTCACGGGGCTGTCCTGAGAAGTGAGTCAGCACAGAAAGGCAGAGGCTCTCAGGTCGCTGCCGGCCTCCTGCTGATGCCTGGGCTGCCATTCTCAGCGGTGTCTTGAGGACGTTTCCAGCTTACAGAACGGAGAAGCTGTTCTTCCCCTTGTCAGGCCCCAAATAATGACCCAAATAATAACTCATTTTCAGAAGGAAGCCAAGCAAGGTTCAGATGCCTAAGAAACCAAAACACGTTGGGAAGGTTTTCTAACCGATCAGCCTTCATGTTCGATTCAATTAAACAAGTGAACAGATTGAAGCGCCTCTCCCACCATCCACTCTCTTAGGCGGCAGAAGCTCTTCCGGAGACCTTGTCTCTGGAGCGGCCACATCCTGGGAACAAGACCCCCCACTGGCTGGCCCTCCCCGGGCCGACGCAGATGGGTTCGGGGGGCGCTGTGCAAATCTGCACCCCCAAGTCTGGCCTTTCTAGACCGCTCCCTGCATCCTCTCCTCCTCTCCCAGGTGCAGCGAGGCCCACGGGAGGGCCGGCCCTGCGCCCGCCCGTCCTGTGGGGCTCTGCGCTCCTACGGCAGGCACGGGCTTTCAGGACTGCTCTTCTCTGATGGCCCTGGTCCCCTCGGTTTCAGTTGTTGCCCTGAAACCTGAGCTCTCTGACAGAGTCAAGAAAAGTCTTGAGTGTGCAGATCGCTGGTTTTCTTGCTGTTATGAGGAGGGTTCTGCTTGTCTCACTGTGTCGGGGGGGGGGGCTTTTGGATCAGCTGCCGGACCTCGATGCCGTGGTGGTGCCTGGAGTGTGGCTGGACCAACAGCCTCCTTGTTGACGGACATCTGGGCTGATTCCAATTTGGGGAAAAGAGGAATAAAATCATTCTGAACATGTGTCACAAGTGCTTGTGTAAAGTTCTGTCTTCACTTGGGATAAACACCCAAGAGTGCCACTGCCGGGTCACATGGTAGCAGCACATTTATTTTTTTATTTTTTGAAACAAAATAATTTTTATTTCCTAACCCATGGCAAATATATACATCCAATATGTACTTATCTTGCATACTCAGTCACAGATGACTTCCAAGCTACAACCACCTTGATATTTAAGCAGGAACTAAAAGTTACCTTAGTTGACATGACAAATGCTCTTAGATGGATAACGTATGAATATATTGGATTGGTGACAACAGAGTCTGACTGATTAGTTCTATAAATTTAAAGCTTGGAAAAGCTACTACTTTGACATCTAACACTTTCCGACAAGCAGGATGCAGCAATATCAGCTTGTATTCCAGAGAAATTTCCTTAGCTTTTCTGGTGATGGAACCACGTATCCACATCTGCTGGCATTGTGCAGGCAGACTCACATGGTGGTGGTAAAGCATCCACCATGGCTTTGGCAGCATCAGGATCACACTGGAAGGGGCTCTCAGATACCATGGTGTTCATGCAGCTGATTCCTTTTCCATCAGTTTTCTTAGTCACTAATGCTCTCCAGTAGTCATGAGTGCTTTCAATAATGTCAATTGCAAAGTTCTTATCTTTACATTCTGCATTGAAAGCAAACTCATTCTCAGGTTTCCATCTGGAACCTTGTACCTCCTAAACCAATCCACAGTAGCTTCCAGGTAGCCAGGTTTCAGCTGCTTGATCTCATTAATATCATTATAATTGGCTGCATCAGGATCTTCCACATTAATGGCAATGACTTTCCAGTCAGTTTCCCCTTCGTCAATCATAGCCAGAATGCCCAGAACTTTCACTCTGATAATTTCCCCTCGTGCACACACCTTGCTTCCAATTCACACACATCAATCGGGTCATTGTCACCACAACAGCCAGTGTGTTTGTCATTGTGTGCTGGGTCTTCCCAAGTCTCAGGGATGGCACTGTAGTTCCAGACATATCCTTTATAAGGGAACAGATTTGCAACATAACGGAGTTTTCCTTTCTTCACATCTCCCTTAATTGGGCTTAAAGGGTGCTTTGTAGCAATCTCCATTTTTGCATTCGACCAGCGTGGCACTTCAACCACCATGTGAAACACTTCCTTATCTGCATAAATTGGAATATCATGAAATGGAGAGATATATTGTCCTTTTTCATTTTTGAGAAAGACTCGATACTCGAGGGTGAAGGGCGCCGTGCGCTCCTCGCTGCTGAAGCCGCTCATCCTGCCGGAGGCCAGCTGCCGCCACAGCTACTGATACAGAGCCACAGGTCCGCACGCAGCACCAAATGACAAGGAGTGAGCTCCGGGCCTGCGCACTGTGGAGACTGGCACGGCCACGTTTAGTTTTTAAAGAAACAACCAAAATGTTTTCCTGAGGGGCTGTACCGTCTGACATTCCCACATCCCAGCATTTTTCATTTTGACACCTGGTAGAGACGATGCTGCGGAGCCCCTGACTGTGTCTGAGCCCGAGTGCACCTCAGATCCCACTGCAGGAGTCGGAGCCGGGAGGAAGCTGGCACAGCGGCCCTGGGTCCTGGGCGCCCACATCAGCAGGCCGGCCATCATCCCCTGCTAGGGCAACAGGCTGGACGGAGCACAGGTCATTTCAGAGCTGCAGGTGCAGCTTCGAAGGTAGAATCTTCTGGAAGAAGACTATTCAGGTGTCCTGGCCTTGGGCAGATGCACTGACAGGGCTCATGGCCAGAATTTTGCAGACTATTCGTGGACATGCCTTTTGCTGGTACAGCCACCTTGAATCAAAGGGCCCTCCTTAGGATCCCACCTCACTTCTTGCTAAAACGTCCTCCCCCTGTCTTTTCTCCCCAGGCACCCACCAGTGACCCCCAGAAGGGACCAGTGAAGCAGAGGCTTGGCTGAGGAGGAAGTTACAGAGCAGGGGGCCACTGGGCTCGGAGCTCCACAAAAGGCCCCCCAAGGAGGATACAAGGGAGACGGCACAGCAGGGATAGAGCGCGCCAGGGTGGGCTGGACCCTGTGTCTGGCTCTGGTCCAGGGTGCAGGCGGCACACACCCTGGACCACCGTTGCACTGGGGCTGAAGGCAGAGGGGCAGAACCTGGTGGGGAAGGGGCGACGCCCCCTCCCTCTCTGTGGTCCGGCTCCTGGCAGCTCAGGAGTGCTCTCTGGGGAGCCAGAAGCCAGGGAAGGACCTCTGAGTCTTGGGGTGTGCGCAGGCTTGGGGGACCCAGGGAGCTCCGCCCTGAAGTCTGGGGCAGCACAGGGAGCGCGAGGCGCACTCTGCGGGAGCGGGAGGTGGTGGCCCCCCCACCCCACCCCGCCCCGCCCCCGCGGTCTGTCGGACCACCCAGCGCGTGGCTCCTTCCTCCCTCCGCTAGCCAGGGGGTCACCACGAGCCCTCTCCGCTCCCCGCCGCTTTACCGGCAACAGGGGCCTCCCCCGCTCCGGGATTGGATGCGAGAGGACGGGTGGGGGCGGGCGGGAGGACCCCAGGAGCCCAGGTTCCCCGCTCTGGCGGAGAGCAGCCGGCAGCTCAGACGCCACTGGTCCGAGCCTGGAAGAACCTCCGCGCCGACCTGGAGCGCTCCGGCGGGCGGCGCGGAGGAGGCGGCAGCATTGGCGGCCCGCAGGCGGCAGGCGCACCGCGATGTTTGACAGCTCGCAGTATCCCTACAATTGTTTCAATTACGACGCCGACGACTACCCAGCGGGCAGCTCGGACGAGGAGAAGCGGCTCACGCGGCCGGCGTACAGGTGACCGCGGGGACGGGCCAGGGCCGCAGGGGTCGGGGGCTCTCCTCCGACCGGCTCGCGCGCGGGAGGACTCATTTCTCATTCGCACGTTAGGAGGTAACCGAGAAGGTTCTCCAGCCTCCCCGGGGAAGCCCCAGGTGTGACGGTGAGCTTCCCGGGTCTGCGCAGAGGTGCGCTGGGAGCTCCAGGGGGCCCCACTCCAACAACCACCCCCGACCCCAGCTCCCCAGCGCCCCGGGGAAGCAGCGCGGAGTGGTCCCCGCGCGGGCACGGCCGGCAGGAGACTCCAGACGCAGACGCGCTCCGGGGTCCCTCTCCCTCTCCGGCCCAGCCTGAGCGCCCCTGTTTGCAGCTACATCGCGCTGATCGCCATGGCCATTCAGCAGAGCCCGACGGGCAGGGTAACCCTGTCTGGAATCTACGACTTCATCATGCGCAGGTTCCCGTACTACCGCGCCAACCAGCGCGCCTGGCAGAACTCCATCCGCCACAACCTGTCCCTCAACAGCTGCTTTGTCAAGGTGAGCCCCGCCCTGGGCGGCCCCTGAGTGCCCCAGGCACCCCTGATTGGGCGGTGGGGGTGCATTTTGCAGCTGCGTGCGCTGGAAAGTTCACGCACGGGTAGCCTTCGCCAGCTCCCCAGCGACTCGCCCACCCCCAGGGCGGGGCATCCTTCCGGGGCCGCCAGGGGCTCCCCGAGTGAGCGCGGTGGGCGGGCCCCCCGGGAGCACGCCGGGCGCTGAGCCCCTCGCCCGCACAGGTGCCACGGACCGACGGCCACGAGAAGGGCAAGGGCAACTACTGGACCTTCGCCGGCGGCTGCGAGTCACTGTTGGACCTTTTCGAGAACGGCAACTTCCGCCGGCGGCGGCGCCGGCGCGGCCCCAAGGGCGCGGAGGCGAGGGGCGCGTGCGGGACAGATGCGGGGGCGCCCCCAGGCCCCCCTAACCTGGCCAGCGCACCGGCGACCCCAATCCCCCCCCGCGAACCCCCGACCCCGGCCAGCCCTGCCGTCCTGGGGAGGGAGGCGCACAGGGACATCAAGTTCAGCATTGACTACATCCTCTCCACCCCTGACCCCTTTCCTGGATGCAGGTCACCCCACGTACAAGAGGGCAGACACCCCCCGCTGGAGGCCCGCCAGGTGAACCTCCACCTTTGGACCATGTGAGAGGCACTGAGGCGGCTCCCCCTCCAGGGCTGGCACCCGGTCAGTCTGGGGTCTTCGGGGTGATTTCAGTCCACCTGAAGCAAAGAAATGAGGTTCTGCCACACTCCACAAAGTTCACAGACTCAGGCTCAGTGCTGAAACCAGCCTGGGTTGGAGGGAAAGAGGTGACAGGCTGAAAGGCGCTCATTTCCCTGTTGCCCCATTACCCCTTCAGATAAAACCCACCAGTTCCCGTTGGAGGACTTAAGGGTTTGCTCTTGACTCACCCAGGGATTTTGCTTGAGGGCTAAGAGCTCACCGTCAGGGTCACGATCACTTAGAGTCAAGGTAATGATGGAGAGGTCACTTCCTAGACTGCTGCGGGTGAGCTGAGTGTCTGGGGTGAAGTTGGTGGGTGTTTTCTCTGGCTGAAAACAATAAAAACGAAGTGCAGATGGTCAAGTCAGCTATTAATTGATCCTGTGAACGTTGCCCAAGGTTTTTTGACTGTGTCCCTGTCATGAATGATGTGACTGGAAGTGACAAGTGCGTCTCGTGTTGTGGGCTGAATATTTGATGGTTGTTTAAAAAATTCTGTGCACTTTTTTTATACAGGAAAGAAGGAAGGAAGTGGGGGGAGGAAGGCGGGGGGGGGGGGGGAAGAGCGGAGGCCTTTGGGGCAGCACGGGGGCAAAGCACACTTGATTCTCCTGAGCAGCGAGGAAGCCCTATTCTGGCACATTCCAAGCAAACATTCCAGAGCAGACGGTGACAAATTTCTGCTGCACTGTGAGGTGTACGGTTAGGAAGTGCACAATTACAAGCATTGGAGGTGGGTGCATCCATTTGAAATGTAAATGATATAACTACTGGGTAGAGACGGGCAATTAAAAAACACAATTATGCACAGTGAAACTATTTGACCAACCTTATCATTTTTCACCAGCCCATTTTTCGCAGAGTTAATTGTTTTCCGTGACTTAATTTGAACATTAGTATGGATTACACCTAATCTGATTCACTAGGTGACGATGATTGGCTAATTTTGTAAACGGCAAAAACACACCCAAGGAGACTTGCTGTCTCGACTCGGAATTACTGTCTTGCTTTATCGGACTCAGAGAAGCTGGGGCTGGGGTAGATGAAGGAGGCAGGCACGCGGGACTGAATCGGTCAGGAGACACAGTTGCACCCTGATTCAGAAGGTTGGGCATTTCATTAAGTCACAGTATCCCGATTTCATCTGCCCTGTGAATAGAAACACCTTGGGGTCCTTTCATGGTTTTGAGAAGGCGTGTCTGGCCCTGACTCCAGAGGTGGTCGCTGGTAGTGATGCCCACTCACGTCACCGATGTGCTCTCAGCCGGCTCAGGCCATCAACAGGTCAACTGGAGAGGACTGAGGTCACCGTGCCCTCGCAGACACCCACCGGCAGAACTCTCTCCTGGGGGAGCAGCCAGTGTCGGTGGGCTCTCGGGTCGGCCGGGCATGGTGCCGAGCCTCCCCGCGGGCCAGCACCCCAGCCCTGATGCCCTCGCTCCACACAGATCAGAGACCTGCAGCACAGTGGCCCAGGCCTGGGACTCAACTGTAATTCTGGGGTCAGGCTTCCTCCGTGCCATGGTCACACGCGAGTGTGTGCATGCGTGTGCATGCGTGTGCCTGGTGGGCCTGTGTTGTGTCTGTCTCATTCCTGTTACTTACAGTCTATTGTCAGTTGTGCTGACATCATTTTAAATTATACCAGATATAATTCAGATGGTGATAGGACACAGCTGTTTGCACACACAAGTATACGACATACAGACTATCTGAGGGTATATTTTTCTGCTTCCATCTGAGCAAATAAAGTTTCGTTTCATCTTTCAACTTCTCTTCCTGAGTTTCATTCCAGTGATCAAGTGGCTGGAGCCAAGGGGCAGCACCAGGCTTTGAGATCTGGGTACCGTAGCATTTGTTTTGCAAAGGGTATCAATCATGTTTTTCGAAGCGATGGGACATTTTCAATTTGCAAGCATGTGACACCCTTCGACTGCAGAAAGGCCCGCAGCCCTCAGAGTGAGTGGCATTTAATCCCCAACAACACAGCAGGATGAGGGCTGGTCTGACCTATTCAAACGTCGCCTCCACCACGCACACCCGCCTAACACAGTTATAATTAAATACCTTATGCCTCTCTTGCAAATCCACTGATTGATCACCAATACGTACATCACCAGCACATTACCCTGAGCAGATGTCTGCCACACGTGCCACGGATCACCGAGTTTCCATTAGCCGGAGCCAGGGCTGCGCGTGGGAGCCGTGATCGAGCTGCCGTCGTGCGAAGCGCGCTCCCGGGGTGCGGCACCAGCTCGCAGACTGTGGGTGTCGTAGCTCCAAGCAGCCGCCTGGCGAGGGGCCTCCACCAGCGCTGGTGCTACAAGGCGAGGCCCGACAGGACCCGGACAGCCGAGGTGAGGGTGGGCGCCCCGAGACAACAGCGGGTGCTGGACGGCAGCCCCCCATCTCCAGGGCCCCTATGGCCAAGCCCACATGAGCACACGGATGGCCTCGTCCTGCAGCTCCAGCAGCCCCATGAGCAGAGACGAGCAGACACCCGACTCCGTGAAGCAGGAACAGATAAGGAAACAGTCTCAGCGGGGCCCACCTTCCCCACTGCGGGGGGGCCCAGGCTGCCCGTCTGAGGCGGGATGGCGCCCTCTGGCCAGAAGGATGGAGGCATCACACTCCCGGCCCCCCGCCCACTCGAGGCATTCACTAGCATGGGAGCCCTCGGGGCGGGACCTGACCCCCGCCTCCCTGCCCCCAGCAGCCCTGCCTCCCGCCCTCCAAGTCAGGAGGGTCCGCACTGCTCCCTGCCCCGGGTCTCAGCCTGGGGTGCAGCCCCCAGTATCACTTCAAGAGGAGCTCAGGAACGACACAGTCCGTTACCAGTAACGTGGGTTTGTATTCAGCCAAGTTAACAATCCATAAACACTGGCAAAATTGCTTGCTTTTATCCCATTAAAAACACCAAGTTCGTCTGATGTAAATGGACCTTGCTGTTCTGGAGAAACCAGTTCCCCAGAACCAAAGGCACAGTTGTCGGGCGGCCACTAAGGACAAATTAACTGTCTTCGCGTCCAGGAAATTACGCTTCCCCAGCTTTAGGCAACTTCAGGCCCAGAGTCCAAACAAGATGTAAGCTCACTCAGCTGAAACTCGCAGGATTAGATTTATAATAGGCTGAGGGAGATCTCACGGCTGTGCCATTTTTAACAAGTAGAAACCGGGCGGGAGCACTGGGGGCCCACCGGGCCTGCTCTTCTCCGTGCTGGGCTTGGGCGTGGGGATGGGGGGGTGTCCCTCCCGGAGTCCTGCTGGGCCCTCACACTCGCCCGTCAGGGGGTGGTTCCGGTCCACACCGTTTGCCCAGGAGCCCGGTGCCTCTGGGACGACCAGTGGGTCCCCACTGCCCACCAAGCCCAGCAATCACGCTGCTCGTCCCTGAAGAGGGTTCAGAACCGCTGTCTCTGCAGATGCTCACGGGGCGCTCCAGCTGGTGAGGGGCTCCATGTCCATTGGTGCCTTTTGTTGCTTCATACCGGTCTCCGTCCATCCACATGGAGGCAGTGAGCCACGGACCACGCGTCCTGGGACCTCGCGGTGCGGGAGACAAGGTGGGAGCAGTGAGCCCCAGCACCTGAAAGGCCGGCCCAAGGCTGACGGTCCGGCTCTCAACCCTCTGTGTGCAGGTACCCTGGACAGCTGTGCTGCACTCGGGTGACCGGGACAGGCGGGCCCACTCCCCCAAGAGGGAACCCCGCTAGTTCTGGGGCACAGGGCCCCCACTTCACCCATATGCATCTCAGCCAGAGGAGCGACTCAGGGGGGCTGGGGCAACGCCTGTCACCCTCCTTGACATAGGTCCAGACAGAGGGCACCAGCGCTGGGACTGCTGTGCCCACCAGGCGCCACAGGAAGTCCTGTCCTCCCTGGGCCCTGAGCATCAGGAGCAGAGAGGGTTCCCCACACGGGGGTGCTCTGCGTGAGTCTGAACGCTAGGCATGCACAGGCGTGCCTGTTGGCCAAGTGTGCATCTGCGAGCCCTGCTGAGTGTGCATGCGTGGGTGTGAATAGTGTGCACTGTGTGTGCACAAGTGTGAGCCGAGCATACACCTGTGAGTACGTGTACTCGGGCAGGTGTGCACCACGAGTGTGCACACACACCAGTGTACCTGTGTGAGAGTGCATCACAGCAACACATTGCTTCCAGTCCTTTTTGTGCCAAGAAATCTGTGTGAAAGCAAAGGCACCTGGGAGCCCCCAGGTCTGCTGAACAGCTCATCTGCGGAGTGGCTGGTGGGCATCCCACAGGGCCTCTAGTGAGACCCACCTCCAGGAGCCACTCAGCAGGATGCGGTGAGAAGCGCTCTCAGAGGAGGAGTGACTTTAGCTGAAGAACGGGACCAGAGTCCCTGGACGTGAAAGTTAGGACATAAATCAAAGGCAAATGTCAAATGCCTTCTAACACCAATTGAGGCGTAACTTGGGGTGGGGCCGCGCGCCAGGCACTTGCTCGTGGAGGCTCAGAGAAATTATATCCGTAATCACCTCTAGATTGCTGGCGCCTCGCTGCAGACCTAAGCCTCTGTGGCCTCCGAGGTGGGAATGTGTGTCCAGAACTCAGGCCCCACATCCACGGATGCTGAGGACGCCCAGGATGCGGCACAGACACAGGGTCAGACCATGGGAACTTTCCAAACGTCCCCTAGAGAGCGCACACCCTGGGAGCATCTCTGAGGGGCCAGACAGAACACTCAGCAGGCACCGTCCTCCCCAAGCCCTCTAGGCACCTGCTTCCTGCCCTGCCCCGCCCAGGCCTTGGTGCCTCCTGCCCGCCTGTGGCTGCAGCCTCAAGCAGGGCACTCCAAACGGGGCAAACACCCTCCCCCAGGCCGCCCGGCAGCCTCTGAGAGCCAAGATAGGGCCCAGGCCCCGAGCGCCAGGCTGCTGGGCCTCCAGCCCTCACAGCTGCA